GTTTCGTTTAAACTCTTCTGAATTAAAGTCTTATGTAGTCATACAGATTAAATTTGTTCCTTTTGTTTTTAAGTCCATCACTAACCTGTTGTGTGTGTCTGTCTTACTCCCTCAGGCAGTCAGTGCCATGCAGCAGCAGCAGCCTGTGCAGCCTGCAGCTCCCCCTGTTGCCTTGGAGACTCACCCCATGAACTCAGCATCTCCTGTGCCACCTACTGACCCCATGGCCAGGAAGCAGGTGGTGCAGGATTTAATGGCACAGATGCAGGGAACGTACAATTTCATGCAGGTGAGGAGTTAGTGTGAAGAACAGAGATGTTTACTGTAGAAGTTTTAGTATGATGCTGATTACATATTTGTTGTCAGGACTCCATGCTGGAGTTTGACGGACAGCCCGTTGATCCGGCCATTGTATCGGCGCAGCCCATGACACCTGCTCAAAACATGGACTTAACACAGATGGTGTGTCCACCTGGTGGGTTTGAACAAAGAGAAAGTTTTGACTTCATGATGTCTTAATATTAAAACTAATATCTTACAGTGGAAGTTGACTACAGTGAAGTGTTTAAATCTTCTCAGTTCACCCAGAGTCCCGGCTATCACAACCCAACATTGTTCCTGTCCAACCTGAGCCCACGCAAGTAAGTAACCAAACATGAGAAGCCAAAACTGACCACCAGGGGAAAATCTTCATATATGTTTATTGTCAATCTCCCTATTTACAGGTCCCCATTGTCTCCCAAACACCGCCCCCCATGTATCAGCCCTCACACACGCCAGATCCTCGACCCTTAACAGAAACTATCGACCCCATCCAGGTAAACCAGGCTCTGCTTTTCTTTGAATGAAACTCAGTTTTCCACAGTGAAGACTCACATGTGTTACTTAGAAATAAGTTGTGTTGGAAAAATCTTTATTTGTTTTACTGATGATGAATGTTGGAAAAAAAAAAAAGTGTGATAATTTTCAGGGAACTGTTTTTTTAAATCAAATCACCCAATCATCATTAATCAGTATCTTTCAGTCCTGCAACTTTTCATGTCTCCCTGTTCCACAGACCTCAATGTCCTTATCATCGGAGCAGCCTCCTCCCTCAACCGCTCTCCCCCCTGCCTCCCAGACGCAGGTTTTCCAACCTGTTTCCAAAGCTCCTCACAGCAGTGGCATCAATGTCAATGCGGCACCATTCCAGTCAATGCAGACAGTAAGACCATGACACAACGTTAACAAACAATACCTGTTTAAAACCCTCATTGATCAAGTTTCATCAAAGACTGGACTGTCATAAAGCTAAATGACTTCCATTGGTAATTGCACATTGAGTCCTTAAGTGCTCTCGCATTGTTTTGCGGTTCTATGGCTTTGTAGTCCTGCAGCTATAATGTGGAAATAGTGAGTAATGTACTTTCCTCCTAATGAGCCTGTGACCTTTCCTCTGGTTCCGGCTTCACTACAATGTGGCCCTTGTCTACCCTCAGGTGTTCAACCTCAATGCCCCAGTCCCACCAGCTAATGAGACGGAGGCTTTGAACCAGGCCAACCAATACCAGAACAACTACAACCAGGCCTTCAGTAACCAGCCACAGCATCCTGTGGAGCAGACGGACATTCAGTCAGAACAACTGCAGTCTGGTGGGTAGATTATTATTTCTGGGATCATATTCCAGTGTAATACTGTATTTTCATCTCTGAAACGGTGACCTGTAACAATGATTCCATGTTTTTTAGTAGTTGGCGCTTTCCATTCCCAAGACCAGTCAGGAGGCCACCAGCAGCCTTCTCAGCAGGGCCCAGGCTTCGGCAGGCAGGGTCAGTCCTTCTACAACAGCAGAGGCATGTCTCGTGGCGGACCTCGTAACGCCAGGGGCATGATCAATGGCTACAGAGGCTCATCAAATGGATTCAGAGGTAAACCCACAAGTTTATCAATTATTTTCACTTAAGACCCTTTCAGACGATGAATATGTTACATCGATGGCTTCATCAATCTGGTAAAGTAACAGATTTTTGTCTGTTCTTTCACTTTCACTCTCTTTGGCCCCGTACACACCTGGTATTAACATGTGGTTTTTGTGATCTGATCACAAGTGGACAGCTCTGAGTGCGTGCGTTCACACCTGGCATTAAAATGTGGCCAATGTGCGTCCGTTGATTGGATCTCAGATCAGATCTCACTTCCCCGCTCTGTACAGCAAATAGGAACGTTCAATACATCAAGAAACTGTAGTGGGTCAAAGGATGTCGGCTGAGAAGGAGGTCTCTCATGTGGCCCAGGATGGAATTGTGTTCACACTTCTAAAAGAGTGTGGACACATGTGGCCCAGACCTCCTCTGAATGCAGTCTGGTGTGCATTCCCACCTGTACTCACAAAAACCACATATATTACAAGGTGTGCACAGGGTCTTTGACGAGGCGCCTGATCGTAGTGTTCTTGATGCAACACAGTTTTAGCAAAGAGGAAAAAAAAGTCCAATGTCCAAGTCTTTTTTTTTTTTTTTTTTTTTTATTGTCTTGTGCCATATCAGTATTCTCCTCTGTGAGGGTTCTTCAAGACAGACTAATGCAGCAATAACAAGGCTCCTTCACAAATGTTCCCTCTGAGGTTTCAGCTTCTAAGCTTTTAGCTCCATAAACCACACAACCTGCCTGTCTAACATTGTCTTTGTCAGGAGGCTATCTCGTGAATACTGCTTGTTTGGCACAAACTCTCTTGAAGAGTGTTGGCTTTGACCAAAAGCATTTGTCTCATGCAACTCAAGTTTATTGTTTTTGTCTGTTATGATGCTTATGATCGGCCTTTTTCACTGCGAGTGCATCAACATAACCAGGCACACTGTTTTATCTTTTACCTCAACAAAAAAATAAGGATTTGTCAATTAATTTTGGAATGAGCTGCATCTTTTATTGACACTCACCACATAAGTTATGTATGTGTTGTGATCACCATAAACAGGCATACACCTTGAAGGACTCATTTTCTTAAGCAATCTGTGTAAATGTCTGTCGTGAGAATCTGTGTTTTCACTATTTAATCTTGTGTAACGGGAGCCTTTGTTAATTTCACAGCATTTTATTCAGATATGTGCTGAATAATTGATATGTGCTATGTTACCAAACCCCACCCATTTGTTGGGTGACATTTCAAATGTGACTTGAGTGCTTGTTTACATGTAAAAATGCTATTGTCTGAAAGGGGCTTAAAGGAGGAGCTTAGTTTTTGTTAATCTCAGCATTTTAAGTGAAAAGGTCTTATTAATTCCAGGTGGCTATGATGGTTATCGTCCACCATTCGCCAACACTCAAAACTCTGGCTACGGACAGACCCAGTTCAACACACCACGGGATTACTCAAATGGAAATTACCAGAGGGTATGAAAGAAGCCTTCACACTTCCCACTGCCTTTTTTATTTGATCTTTGTTTTCTGTTGGGAGTAGTTTCTAAACTGTCTCTCTTATCTCCCCCTGCTGCTTCAGGATGGTTACCAACAGAACTACAAGCGCGGAGCTGGTCAGGGACCCAGGGGAGTGTCGAGAGGCAACACTCAGGCAATGCGATCCTGAAAAGGCCTTTCATAATGACTGTGACTGATTTAAATTGCACCACACAGAAAATTCAAAATTCAAGAATGCATTTGCCCCAGCTCACTCATGTCCTCTCTTTGTTTGTTCTTCATCAGTGGTATTTTTCCTGTTTCTTCAATCAAAGTAATGCCTGCTTTGATATTTGGAAATATTCAAATCATTTTAAGTCTAAAACACAAGGTAAGCTGTAAATCCAATCATTGATTTACACATGCTATGTGTTTCAATATTCCTGTAAACTTGAAAGATTTCATAAGTTATTTTTTGTATAAAAAAATGCACCTGCCACTGCTGGTCCAATCCTTGGGAGTTTATTCCCTTTCTCAGTTCTTTTCTGTCATTTTGATTCTAAAAAAAAAAAGCATTTTATGTTCAATGAGCTCCCGTTTTCTTGTTTGTACATTGATGTTGCTTCAAAAGTTTCAATAAAGTTGTGTTGCATACCCATGGTTCAGCTTTGAGTTTTTGCTGTATAGTTGAGAAATGTTACATGAAATTTTCAAAATACAATTTGTGCTGATAAATGATTTGTATTTTGCCATGGACACACAGGCGTGCTCATTCAGTTAAGGGTCTGACAACTAAAAGTAATTTTAATGGAAATTTTCATCAGTAATTACTTGTTTATAAAACAAGGATGAAATGTTAAGAGGCTCATCACAATTTTAGAGCCCAATTTACAGTCTTTGTTGCTTTCTCAAACCAAAAGATATTCACATTACCCTCTCAGTTAATCAGTAAATATTTTCACTGGATTATAGCTGCAGTCAATGATCATGTTTATTATTGATTAATCTGCCAAAGACTTGATTAATCATTAAGCTGCTTGGTTTATACAATGTATCGTTTAAATGTGTCAGTTACAGAACATCCCACAATATTTAATTATGTAAAACAGAAAACTTAAAATTCTTACACTGGAAGAGTGGGAACAAGCAAAAGTTTGGAATTTTAGCTTGAAAATACTTCTATAATTAAAAGATAATGAAAATGATTTCCCATCAAGCTTACGTTGACCAAAAGAAAAATAGGTTGACCAGTAGTGTCAGCTCATTTGAGAACTTGATAACAGTGAATCTGAATTTAGTGAATCTTTTGATAACTTTGCTTCAAAATTAATTCAATAAAACACGGTTTAAAGAATAGGTGTGCATGTATTTTCTATCGGTTGAATATTATTATTGAATATTAGTCATGAATTTGAATTTGGTGAATAAAACACATTTGTCTGCTATATAATTGATTTTTTTTTAATTCAATCAATAAATTGTTGTAAAGATTTTATAGTAGTTACAACAACATCAATGTATAAAAGTTGGTACACAAATTAAAATGTACAAGAAAAAATAAAGGATATATTTTAATGCGAAAAAAGTTTCCGCCTGTCAGACTAAACTCGGGGGCAGCTTCCTGTTTAGCTTGAGGGAATGTCGCACAGCAATGACGTCACACCGGGGGTCCTCCATGAACTGGAGTCTCCACGTGAGAGTATCAACAGCATGATGGCTGACATGTAACTTCAGCTACTGCGACTCTCTGGACTTTTTACGAGGATTAAACAAAGAACAGTTTGTTTGTCAAAGAAGGTGAAAAGTTTAAAGTTTGTATTTCGCGGTCTTTCTTCCTCGTGCTGAAGACTGACTCGTGTGTTTCGGTTGAACCCTGACTCCTGTCTTGAGCTAACAGCACTTTTGTTTCTCAGTGTTTTACTCACACGTGGTTCTCTGTGGCATCGCTCTTGAGCAGGAAGACGATGGCGACTGTCCGCAAGAAGGTGGACAACCGGATCCGGGTGCAGATCGAGAATGGAGTGGCTCTGCAGCACCGCACCTTGTTTGTGGTGGTGGGAGATCGTGGTAGAGACCAGGTGAGATCTCACCGTACAAAGCGTCAGGCTCGTTTTGTCCACGTAACCCTGTCACGTGAGTCTGTCGTCATGTAGCATCAACACCCTGTCTCTGGTCCAGGTTGTCATCCTGCACCACATGCTGTCCAAAGCCTCCGTGAGAGCGCGGCCCTCAGTTCTGTGGTGCTACAAGAAGGAGCTTGGCTTCAGCAGGTGAGTGTGAGCTCCTCAGAGTCACATGATGTGTGTGGAGGTGAGGAGGAGGTGAGAGGAGGTTTGACTGTCTGACCTGTCCCCATCAGCAACCGCAAGAAGCGCATGAAACAGCTGCAGAAGAAGATCAAGACGGGCACGTTGAATCTGAACCAGGACGACCCGTTTGAACTCTTTATCGCTGCCACCAACATCCGCTACTGTTACTACAACGAGACGCACAAGATCCTGGGAAACACGTTCGGCATGTGCGTCCTACAGGTGAGTGTCTGTCACAGACCAGGGCTCACACCGAAGATTGACTGGATACAAAAGTCAAAATAAAAGAGATGAATCGTTCCTTATATGTGTGGTGGCCCTGAAGTACAAAAACACAACGATATGATTTTGTCAGCTTTTCCTTCCTGTTTAACATTGTGTTCGTCCAATCATTGTAGGTACCTACTTCCCATTGGAAGTGAATGCTGTTGTGTTTTCTTATTTGTGTTACCTCAGGGCCACTGTAGCTATGCAAACCTGAGACCCTGTTCCATAAGAGACACTAGTTTATTCTATGAGGTCACATCTGCGGCCTCGGCTGTAGAGAATAATACAATAATAATATGTTCAGTATATCAGGTTGTCTTTATTTTTGTTTCACTCTTTACACAGGATTTTGAAGCTCTCACACCAAACCTCTTAGCGAGAACTATAGAGACAGTAGAAGGAGGCGGGATCGTGGTCATACTGTTGCGGACCATGAACTCTCTGAAGCAGCTCTACACCATGACGATGGTAAGTCCTCATCGTGTTTCTCCTCCACACACGTCACACTCTCTCTAGTCAGATAACTAAGGGTCTCTGTGGCTTGTTTTGTTCAGGACGTTCACTCACGATACAGAACGGAGGCTCATCAGGATGTGGTCGGACGCTTCAATGAGAGGTTCGCTCTCTCAATGAGATTATTGAAGTTACAGGATTGTTGGTCATTTAGAATGACTCATCAGTAGTGATATTTCTTTCTGCATTTTTCAGGTTTATTCTGTCTCTTGCTTCCTGCAAAAACTGTGTTGCCATTGACGACCAACTCAACATCCTTCCAATCTCCAGTCACATGGCAAACATCCACCCAGTCCCTCCAAAGACTAAGGTACTTTTTAAATCTACATAAAACGATTAGTTGTTTAGGAAATAGGAAATTAATTAGCAGCAACTTTGACCAAGTATAATTCAGTGATGTTCGTACAAAATGTTGTTGACACATCAGTGTCACCAGTTTTGACTTCTCTCCACCAACGCTCAATCTATGTTAGTATTGGTTTGAAAGTTTTTTCTGGACATATTGAGTTGTTACCACCTGGAGGACGTTTGTGTCTGTGAAGCAGAGATGTGTGGCTGTTCCGAGATTACAGTTGAAACAAAATTCTGAAATAATTTTTTTCTTTTTTTTTTTCATAACTTGTCTTTTGTGTTTTGTTCATTTTGTTTCCTTGTTTTTATTTTGTCTTGTCCTTTTGTTCTCCTTCTATAAAGTGGTTCGGATAAGTGCACGTGAATAAAGTTTGTTATGTGTTGTTTCGTCCCCTTCAGGAGGACGGTTTGTCTCCACGAGAGCAGGAGCTGAAGGAGCTGAAGGAGTCTCTTCAGGACACTCAGCCTGTGGGCGTGTTGGTGGAATCCTGCAGGACCATGGACCAGGTCAGGACCTTCTCAATCATGAAGCACATTTACAATGTGCAATATAATTTAATGACTTCGCCAATAAGACATGTTGACAATGTTCCTGACGAAGGACGAACTAATGTGTGTCCCAGTTGTCATTTCCTGGCTCTCATGTTTTACTCTTGCCTTCCAGGCCAAGGGAGTGCTGAAGTTCATAGAAGCGATTTCCGAGAAGACCCTGCGGAGCACAGTGGCTCTGACTGCTGCCCGTGGTCGAGGCAAGTCTGCAGCTCTGGGGCTGGCTGTCGCTGGAGCTGTGGCTTTTGGGTACGAATCAGTTTCAGAATCTTCTAAAATATGTTGTCAGTTATATTTTCTTCAAGTATAACCGAGTTTGCTTGATTTTTCTTTTTTTTTTTTCAGCTATTCCAACATCTTTGTAACGTCACCAAGCCCAGACAACCTCCACACCATGTTTGAGTTTATCTTTAAAGGATTCGATGCTCTGCAGTATCAGGTAGGCTGTGTGGTCATCTCCTCTGTGTCACTGACAGAATCTCAAGTCCGAGCACAGATAACTTCACAGTCTCTTTTCATTTGTAGGAGCATCTTGACTATGAGATCATCCAGTCTTTGAATCCAGAGTTTAACAAAGCTGTGGTGCGCGTGAACATCTTCAAAGAGCATCGGCAGACGATTCAGGTAAAGGAAACGACAACGCTCTCTCTATTCCCTGTTATTTATCCTCACAAGTGGAATAACATGGTGTTGCTGTTCTGTGACCAACAGTACATCCACCCAGGCGATGCAGTGAAACTGGGCCAGGCTGAGCTGCTGGTCATCGACGAGGCTGCAGCCATCCCTCTTCCCCTGGTCAAGAAGCTGCTGGGGCCTTATCTGGTTTTCATGGCTTCCACCATCAACGGGTCAGTAACAGAGCCGGATCACATTTACATATTATCATATTAACCAAGTAGAGAGGGATATGAGGATTAATGAAATAAATTGTGATTGAAAGAACACAAAGATATTAAGTCTGGTTTAATAGACAAGTAAGACATTTTTTTATATTTGCACATGGGAAGTTGTAAACTGTGAAACTTCTGCATTTTGCAACTTCAAATATTTATCAATGGTCAAAGTATTCTGCGGATCAATGAATCGTTTGATCATTTCAACCCTAATCATTTGTCTTCCTGGTGTCTGTAGGTATGAAGGTACCGGACGCTCCCTCTCACTCAAACTGATTCAGCAGTTGAGGCAGCAGAGTGCAGACAGTCAGCAGAGCTTGTCAGCAGAGAACAGGAGCAGCAATACAGCAAGGCTGGCTGCAGGTAATTGTGTGTTTGTGTGTGCATGTGTGCGTGTGTGCGTGCATGCATGTGACCATCACCTAATTGCTGCTCATGTCCACTTCACAGCTCGGTCCCTCCATGAGGTCTCTCTCCACGAGTCGATCCGGTACGCTCCAGGAGACGCTGTGGAGAAGTGGCTGAACGAGCTGCTCTGTCTGGATTGTCTCAACATCCCCAGGCTCATCTCTGGCTGCCCGCTCCCACAGACCTGTGACCTGTATCCTTCATTCACTCTTAAGATCTGAAAGTTACTCCTGGTCTGAAATCACCCATCAGACATGAGGTGCTAAAGTGATACAAGCGAAATCCCTTTTGTGGATAATATAAAAAAAGAAAGTGTTGATGTTGGGACATTTTATTAAATATTATTTATTATTATTAATTTAATTAAGTATTTAGGGCTGCAACTAATCAATATTTTTTAATATGTATTCATTTTCCATTTATTTTATCAGTTATTCACTAAGGACGTATTAGAAGCTAGCACTAGTGTTCAGTAAAAGTTGACTTAATCTGATGATTATGATCAATCCTCAATTCTTCGTGTCCACGGCAGCTCATGTCAGTGTGACCTCATCGTCATAGTCACGCCCTCAGTTCATACTTGAGTCAGAAGCAAACACTGTGGTGGATTTTTCTGTTGTCATCTTTAATCCCACGCTGTGCAGATATTATGTGAACAGAGACACATTGTTCTGTTACCATAAGGCGTCTGAGGCGTTCCTGCAGAGGCTGATGGCGCTGTATGTGGCATCACACTACAAGGTGAGGTCATTTATCTTGTAGTAAAAAAAAAAAAATATTTTGAAAATAGTGCTGTGTCATCTTTGTGTTCATTTGCTGACTCATTGTTTCCTCTGTCTCCAGAATTCACCCAATGACCTGCAGATGTTGTCCGACGCTCCGGCCCATCACCTGTTTTGCCTCCTGCCGCCTGTTCCTCCCACACAGAACTCACTGCCCGAGGTGCTCGCTGTGGTGCAGGTGAGACTCAGGAAACTGGTTTTAAAAAGCTGTCGTGCCTGTGAAAGACAAAAGTTGGAGTAGAAGATGGACAGAGGCCTTTTGTTTTCAAGTTATCCGTCCATCTGTCCTCGAGAGAATTTCTTCAAATGTTCACTTAAGGATGAACTGATTAGGGTTCAGGGGTCACGGTCATGTTGACCTCACAAAACATGTTTTTTGACTTTTTGTACATAATATTTCAAGTCTGTCTTTAGAGAATTACTTCAGATGTTGTCACTTGGACTCAAAGATTGACATCTTACAATCCTCCTGCTTTATAGAAATTGTTTCTTTATTTCTGTCAATCATTTAAATACAAACACATATCAGCTCCAGGCTTATAATGGCTTATTGATACATACATGGATTTATCTGTGGTTCCTCAGGTGTGTCTGGAAGGAGAAATATCTCGACAGTCCATCCTCAACAGTCTGTCCAGAGGGAAGAAGGCCTCTGGTGATCTCATTCCCTGGACTGTGTCAGAACAGGTACGAACCCGTCACAAAAGCTTTATTTAATCATGGCAGCTCATTTCCTCAGTGCGAACATTAACAGTTAACCCTTTTTTTTTTAGTTCCAAGACCCAGAGTTCGGCAGCCTCTCTGGAGGCAGAGTGGTGCGAATCGCTGTCAATCCAGACTATCAGGGGGTGAGAACTTACAAAGACCTCAGCAGTTTTTTTTAAATGACCTTTCATGTGTGTAACTTGATCTCCGCCTGTGTTACAGATGGGTTATGGCTCCAGAGCTCTCCAACTGCTGCAGATGTACTATGAGGGCAAGTTTCCCACCATGGATGAGAGCACACACTCAAATCACAATGAGATCACCTCCGTCAGCAGTGAGGTAATAACAACGAAAGACATCTGAGATGCATTAATTCCCCACTTGAAGTGTAAAAGTAAATTTTAGAGATTGGACTCGGCAGTTTAAAACAAACACATCTGTGACAGAAAATCCTTTCGTGCAGGCCGTCAGTCTCCTGGAGGAGGTCGTCACGCCGCGGAAGGAGCTGCCGCCTCTGCTGCTTAAGCTAAGTGAGAGGAGAGCAGAGAGACTCGACTATTTAGGAGTTTCCTATGGTCTGACCACACAGCTGCTCAAGTGAGTGCCCTAAATATGGAGGTGGGAGGTGGGTGTTAATGTTTCTGGAGATTTAGAAATGTCAAAAACCTTTCGTGCAACCCGACAGGTTCTGGAAGAAAGCAGGTTATACTCCAGTCTACTTGCGACAAACTCCTGTAAGTATGAAAATAATATTCTTCTATGGTTCTGTGCACTGTGCTGTTGTCTTGAGGTGTAGCAGATCAAGGTTGATCTGTAATCTGTATGGATTGACTCTGAACGCATCTGAATTACAGAAGTTTATTTTTGTTAAATGCTGTTTTACTGTCGCTGTGACTTTCTAAGGTTATAATGGCATAAATTTCACTCCAGAGATGAAGGTCAATCAAAGCAGTTGTGTGTTCACTACATGTATTGACAATAAAAGTCATGCCTATTGGAGGAGCCTCCTGCATCATTTAGTTCATGTGTTTGGGAGCATTTTGGATTCCCACAGAATTGATTTAGTCTTTTGTGGTAGCACCGTCGCACATGCATGCTGTTCGCTCTCACGAATGACAGGCACACAAGCATTGAATTCCACTCGTGTCGTGGGTAATCACACGACTGCAGCTGAAATGATGAGGTCTGACTGTCGTGGTGGACGTTAAAAGCTTAAGAACGATAGCACAAGAGTGCAAAGAGCACTGCAGGCAGCTCTATAAGAAATCAGCAGTGCAGAACACTACCTTACAATCTCTTATGATTTTAGTGATGTATATTTAGGGGGGAGGTTCATTATGAAACTGTTGCAGGACAAATTCAAACATGGTGAGACTAGATAATTACTGGAAAACACTGAATACCACAACAAATTCATTTTTCATATTGCATTTCAGTAATTATTCAATATTTTAGTGTGAAATGTAATTTAAACATTAAAAACCTGGAATGTTATTATAAGAAACAGCAAAGCTATATTTCCCTTTAATTTCTTTTTTGCTGATCTGAAAAATGGTCTGGTCCGGACTGTGATTGGTTGAACCCCTGCTCTTGTCACATGGTGTAATGGTTGTGTGGTTGTGTCTAGAATGACCTGACAGGAGAGCACTCGTGTGTGATGCTGAAGGAGCTGAACACAGATGAAGCTCCAGAGCAGAGTCAGTGGCTGGCTGCCTTCTGGAAAGGTGAACTCTCCTGCACTACCTCAGCAGATCTGGTGTGTTCTTAAACGCAGTCGTCCTGAACAGGTTTTGCTTTCTTCAGATTTCCGTCGGCGCTTCCTGTCCCTCCTCTCCTACCAGTTCAGCGGCTTCCACCCGAGCCTGGCCCTCAGCATCCTGCAGAATAAGAAGGCCAAGGAGGAGACAAGCAGTTAAGACCCTTCCACCTCAACACATCAGATTTCCTCAGCACCTCTCACGGTCCTGATCTGACTCGTCTCTTGTTCTTCACAGCTCTCAGTCGCTCCGAGCTGGACGCACATTTCAGCCCCTACGACCTCAAACGTCTGGAGTTGTATTCTCGGAGCATGGTGGACTACCACCTCATCATGGACCTCATCCCAGCGGTGGCACGCATGTTCTTCCTTAAGCAGCTCGGCAACATCTCCATCTCAGCAGCGCAGTGTGTAAGTAGCCTGGTCGGAAACAGGTTTTCCCTTTGCTGTGACCACGTTTAGTTTCCTCTAGATGTTGATTGACTGATGACCGCTCTCCTCCAGGCCATACTGCTGGGTATCGGGTTACAACACAAGTCGGTGGACAAGCTGGAAAAGGAGATTGAACTCCCAAGCTCGCAGCTCATGGGTCTCTTCAACCGCCTCATCCGCAAATTCGTACAAGTGAGTTGACAGGGAAGATGGAAGTTATATCAAGTATTAAAACAACCTTTTATTAAAATGTTTTTCTTTTCTGTCCCAGGCCTTCACCAGCATCCAGGAGAAAGCGATTGAAGCAGAGATGGGGGCCACTAAAGACGTTACCATGGAGCCAACTGTCAGAAGTCTGAATGATGATCTGGTATGTGATGTCTCACTCATAGATGTGATTAGTGTCAAACTGTACACTGAACATAAAGATGGACGCCATGATAGCTCCTAAAAGTGAATTCAAATCAACTTGCTCTGCCCCCTGGTGGCTGGCTGCAGTACATGTCATAAACCCACCTCCTCTGAGCAGTTGGGTGTTAATTGGTTATTTGATGCTATAAAACGGGTGAAACATCTTTATATTCAGTCCGTGGGTGCAGCCTTTCAGATGTGAAAATATTCCAATCTTCTCTGTTTTTGTCAAATAGTTATGTTTTGAACTGTGGATCTGTTATATTAAGAAATTCAAACTCAACCGTGTGGCATTAATTTTCAGATATTTTATAGACTAAACACCTGATACAAATATTAGCAGATGAGTTGTAATATTCTACCACTAAGAACATGTTTGTTTGAAAGACATTAAATGTATTGTTATTTCTTCTCTTACCAGAATGAAGCAGCGAAGGAGTTTGAGGAGCAACACAAGCAGGATATGGAGAAAGTGAAGGAAATGGACTTAGAACAGTGAGTATGAAGTAGGAGGGTGGCTTTGGTCATTTGTCTCAGCAGGTTTGAGTAAGTGCGACGTTCACTAAAGCTTCACTAATCACTGTTTGTGTTTACAGGTACAGGATCCGTGGAGATGACGACGAGTGGGACCAGGTGTTGAAGAAAGCAGGGAAAACGGCTATTGTCAGCATAAAGAGGTGAAGTGACACTCAAGGATCTTGAGGAAATACTGTGCGCTTGTTGTAGAAACATATTTGTGATGGTGTCTTATCCTCAACAGTGACAAGAAGAGGAAGTTGGATGGGGGAAATGTGACAGCCGGCAATGAGGGAATGGGGAACGGGAAACTGAAAAAGAAGGAAATGCAACACGGCAAATTCAAGAAGAACAAGGACAAACATGGTAAATTTGGAAAGAAGGCATGATTATAGAACTCTGCTGCAATGCCTGGACTGTTTGTGGGCACAGAGCAAATTTAGAGAACGTTGGGTTCTGGTAAGGACTTGCAGATATTGAAGAGCATCCGAAAGGTCTGTTGTTTTCATTTGTGTTGCGTTCAACACCGTGAAGACAAAAGAAAACACTTCACACTTGAACAAAACAAGTATCGTTTACTTTCACCTATTTTAAACATTTAACTTTAGTTCTAGAAATCACTTCATGGTTTTCTACAAAGTCTTGTAAAAAAGTTAATGAAAAATGTTTTTTTAAACTGAAACCTGAGGTATATGAGTTAAGCTTTCGGTTCCACTGAGAACACTTGAGGCTTTAAATTAGTCCACTTCTGTATGAGCTGCTGTTTCACCGCCTCTGGTGCGAAGATACAGTCGATGGCCTGCTGGGAGAGCTTCCATACGGCTTCACGGCTCAGACCAAACGTAGAAGCTGCCAACTGATACTCCTGAGACAAGTCTGTGCAGAAGACTCCCTTGTCATCAGTCTGTTATGTGACAAAGAATAAAAAATGACTTGTGAAATTCATTTTTCCTCTCAGGCATCGTCATTTCAGGTTCTTCATAGATTCTTTTTTACAAAGCAAACACTAATTACATTTACAAGAACATCAATATTCTAACTATTAACCTGATTCTGAATAAGACATTATTTCAATAATGTGTTTACATGAAATGCTAATAGAATGTTCCATACATATTTCTGTTTACATGTTACTGCAGGTCTTTTTTTTAAGTAATTCATTTTTTTAATTAAATCATTTTTTTCTGTATTGAGACATTTTTTGTCAATATTTGTATCAGGATAACAAATGATGATAAGAAGTTTGGTTAAATTCACACACAGTGTCACAGATGTGTATAAAGAGATGAAACTTACACAAATCACACTTGGATGCCCCAGCTGGTGCCAGTATTTAAAATGATGTTCGGAAAAACGTGGCACAGTTTGTCCTTTAATATTTGAGGTCAGGCACAGCTCTACAAGAGGGGAGATCAGAAACACAGTTAGCATAGTGCACAACCCACAGAACAATCATTTCATCTCCAACTCAGTCTTACCCAGTGGTATGTTGTTCTTAAGCACTTTGTCAACCACGCTTTGAGATCCACCGACTTCCGGATGCAAGAAGGTGCCGTGACCGATCCTGTCCGGAGGAAGATTCAACAGCAAATCTGACTCCTCCAGCTGGGACGGCACCTGCAGGATTTTGTTTTTGTTGCAATGTCACTGCAGTTGCAGATAATGTCACTTAAAGTCAAATGACCAAAAGATTGTTATTATCGTACTTCTGAGAGGTGCAGTGACAACTTCAGTCCGCAGTTCTTGGCCCTCTCTAGAGCTGGAAGGAAAGTTTTTCCATCGCCCACCTAAGAACAAAAATTACATTTATTAACATTTAAGTGTTGACACAATCAAGCAAAAAAGCCCTGACCTGCCCTCCACCAGAAATAACCGACAAAAAAAGATACAGATCATTTTCATACACAACAAATCCATATAATGTGGAAAACAGTAGCATTAATACATAAAATACATGTCATGTTTAAATAGAATGCTGCTACTTTACTTTATGAAATAATGTTATAGAGTAGGCACTTCTTCTTGCTGAACATAATATAAAATAGAATCAATTTACTATTATGATCTTTGTGAGCCACTTATTCAAACTGGTCTACTGACCGTTGGATCTCCACTCAGGTCGATTCCCAGAACCAAACCATCAGAAGACAGCAGGAACTCCTCTGCCAGCTCCACTGTCTCCATGGCAACCTGTGGCCCATTCCTGCGATCAATCGCCACAAGGAACCTTCAAGATAAATGAGCAGGTTTAGCACCAGGCACAACTGTGGCCAGCAATCAAGTTGTTGAAGCACAATAGCCATACATTATGCAGTATTTTACTACCCAGCCAATTACATTTTATTTAATCCGTGTATCTAAATCTAGTAGACATTATCTCAAGGCACTTTACATAGAAGGTTGAGACCTTAAAAATCATAGAGAAACCCAACAGTTCCCACAATGAGCAAACACATGGCGACTGTGGAGAGAAAAACTCCCTCATTGAGTGGAAGACAGGAAGCAGGTGTGTCCGCACCTTACAGACCTAAAATACATTTCTTTACGTTTTATACATAGCAATGATAAATACTACACCTACCTGACATCAATGTCCAGTCCCTCTTTTTTACACAGCTGGATGGCTCTGATGACAGTTTCAATATATCTCTTTTTTGTCAATCCTGGGAAAGAAGATAATGAACTTATAAGTTGCAGCTAACACTCCTTTTTATTTTTACATCAAAATGCAGTTTGATTTCCCACAACCCAACATGATTCACTCAGGTGTCTTGTTTTGCACAAACAAAATACAACATCCAAAGATATTCAGTATAATGTTATGTAACATAAAAAGTCCCTTCATCTGAGAACCTATTAACATATTTTGACATTGTCTTCTCATTACCTAATGAGTATCAGATTATAAGAAGAATCGGCTAACCAATGAATGATTGCAGCTGTACTTGTAAGATTTACAACTTTCTAAAAATCAATCATCTCAATCAATCACACAATCTGAGCATGAGGCTGTAAGTTTTGAAGTATTGTTACCTGTGTTTTTCACCTCTCTCGGTGTACTCCTGAGCTCCAAGTACTTCACAGAATCAGCCGCAAACTCCCTGATCACATCTGTAGCCACCTGGAGAGAAGAAAAGTCAAATGTGTTGCTGATAAAGATGAAAATGTTAATATTTTATAGTTGGGGGGGGGGGGGGTCCTCACCATGAGGATGTCCTCCTCTGTGTCCACCAGCTGATGGATGACCTTGAAGACCTGAAAACACCTGCGGACACGTGCGCCATGTTGTTTTAATCTCTGTGTCGTTTGTTTCACACTTTGAGCCCAAAGAGGGAGATTATCTACTTATCATCTGCTGGAGGTTTTCAACAGTGTTCAGCGTGTTCAACATAATTACACCGGTGTGAGGCTCAACAGCCCCGCTGGCTCTCGTGTTACAGTTACACTCACTCGTCCAGGCTCCTGCTCTGTCCTTTGCTGATGGCTGTCATGCTGTGCTCGATGTTCAGATGAGGTTTGGTCTTGATGAGCTTCTCGATGGTGTGGGAGCTGACGGAGCCGTTGAGATGAGCATGAAGCTCCTGGGGACAGTTCAAACGCTGACGTTAGCATGTAGCTACCACAACATTTCACCCCGTGTAGTGAGCACTGAGTTCACTTCTTTACTTTCTGGGACTTTTCTGCTTGTATCTGGTGACTCACCACTTTAGGAAGCTGCCGGTAGAAGACATCAGCCTCAGTGTCCATCACAGAGAACAGCAGGGACGGTGTGTGAGTGTGTGTGTGTGTGTGTGTGTGTGTGTGTGTGAGCTGCTACTGCTACTGCTACTGTCACACACCGCTGACAAACCGCCTCTGTTTTCAGTGCACATTTCTCTGTTGCACCGCCGGGTGCAACAAAGAAAGCAGCCCCCGCGCTTTGTAGTTGTTTCAAGGTTCCGCTTCTTCTGCCGTTCTAAAACTTTCCATTCTTCATTAAATTATCTCACGTATCGAAAAACAAAAGTTCATTCATTGTTTTATATGTTCTGGCTTCATCACTTGATGGCGCTGTTGTCTTCATTGAACCAACAGTCTATGCAATAAACTGTGGTAATAAAAAACTATTTGAGATGGCACAATTTTACTTTATCGTTTTACCAGATGTATTCAGTGTCTTTATTACTGGTCAATTATGTTTTGCTAACATAGTCAATGGCTGTGTTATTGGCTATAAAATCATACCTACCTACTAAAGCTCTATAGAGCATAATAAAGACAATCTTTTTGACTCATTATCCACTATTTAGGAATATTACATTGCATATACGACATAAATGCATTAATTGTAATGATGCAGCTTTTATATAGCTGAGCAATGGGCAGCAAATTATGTTGTATGCTACTTCAGTACTTTATAATAATTAAACTTAGTTTTCTAGATAATATGTTTAGTTTTTTAAAATCTTCACCACCAAAATAAATAATAATAACTAGTAGCTAATTAAATACAGAAATATGTAGTGGGGTAAAATGTAGCATAACAACAAATGAAAAATTGTTATGGTACAGGAAGTAGATTGTGTAAATTATATTATAGAGTACACTAAACACAGACTTTAAAAGTTTGATGTGTAGAATTTTGTGACATTCATGAAAATCACAATGATTTTCAAAATAATTTTTATTGTTAAAAATGGCAACATATTAAATGTATTAACATTGTCCTTTTCTCATTACATACAAACTCCAGATGGTTTGGTTGAATCCAACAAGTCAATGATTTGTTCTCTGTTATATATATATACACATGGAAATGATGACATGACTGAGCTCAATGATGTCGTATATCAGTAGTAAAAGTGACATTTCGAACTTGTGCTTCTTTCTTTGACATACAGAGAGATTCCAAAATAGGCAAAATAAAAATATCGGAGGGCTTATGCGATATTGGACTGTTGTGATCATCCGTCAGGTCACTGTTACAGGGCGTCTATTCAGAGGACAAAAAGACTTCATGTTTCTTTCATTCCAAGTGCTATCGATATACTCAACAGCGCTTAACAGTTTGCTTGTTTTTCTAGAAAAAAGCTGTCTGATTTTAAATTGGTATTTATATTGCATATTTGTAAGTAGTAGGAATTTTCTGTACTTGCTGAAACATGTTTTTATTGTGAAATTTGATGGTGTCCCTTTTTTTTCCCTCCGTTTTTTTGTTTCTTTGTAAACTCTTCACAACAAATGTCCCCTTGCAGGACAATAAAGATAAAGATGACCTAAACCACAAAGAAATACAATTTAACATTCAACAGTTCATGCCAAAAGGTGTACCTGGAAACTGTAGAGAAAAAAATATTAATACAGCAAGTAATTGCATTTGGCGTCATCTTTCCTCTTTAACTCATACTGTGGATCCAGTCAACTAGATGATGATGTTCTTGTTCATAAAATGAACTCATGATAAAATAAAAAATAGGTCAAGAGACTTTAAGGCAGCACTCATCGATATGAGTGTAAATCATTCACTCTTGCGCAGAGCACAAGAAGGCGAGAGCAAGTGAGGCAGTAACTCAGAGTCACTGCGGGTTGACACACCTGAGACACTATGAAACCTACATTTCATAGTCGTAATTAACAATCAATGACGAACATATTGTTGTTGACATATAAAACAGTCCATGACATCACTAATTTCATCCCCGGTCATGGTCCACGTCGTCAGAATGAAAGAGGATCAAAGTCACCTTTCGTTTCTCCTCTGTTGAATCTCTCACAGTTTTTTTTCCATCCCTTGGCTGACATGTTGTAGCCACTCCTTCAGCATCTGAAAGCTCGGTCGAGCAGCAGGATCCAGGTTCCAGCACTGTTTCATGATGTTGTACACCACTTCAGGGCAACCATCCGGACAGTCCATTTTATATCCTTTCTCCACTCGAGGCACTACTTCTTTTAACGGCTGCAGAAAACAGTAGATATTTAGAATGTGTTTCACTGACAGCAGCTGAACTCTGAACAGGAGAAACATTCGACTCATCAACACAAGTAGTCAGACGATAAACAGTGTATGAAAAAAACAAAAGAAGTCTTGGTCCACTATAAATATTGGCCTTTCCCCACAGAGGCTAACTCATCATGAGACCACAGCTGATTGGTTCCAAAATTGTTGAGATTCATTTATGTACATTAATTAAAAGACATTTCAATCTTCTATGGATTTTCACCTAAATAATTTTCTGTATGTCTCCAAAAAATATTGATACTCACAATTCTTGGGTAAGGTACTCGTCCGAAAGAATAAATCTCCCAGAGCAAAATACCATAGCTCCAAACGTCTGATTTGGTGGAAAATTTCTACAATTAAGATAAAAATACAAATGTCAGAGTTTCACTGTGTAGTTGTAACACATGGCAAAGCCCACTACACACTACACGTTCAGCAGTCCTTCTATCACTGATACCTTTTCTCTGAGGGCCTCTGGTGACGTCCACTTCACAGGCAACTTTGCAGTATCCTGAGTGGAGGAGGCCTCCTTGGTCAGACCAAAGTCACTGACTTTTGCGATATTGTCTTCGGACACGAGAACGTTTCGAGCCGCTAAGTCTCGGTGGACGAAGTTATTTGCCTCCAGGTACGCCATGGCTTCACAGACGTCTCTGTGGAGGAACAGGGGAGAAAAGTTCAAAACCGGGAGGACGTTTCCTTTCATACTACCAATGCTGGACTCAACAGAATTTCTGACGATGAGACAAATTTTTTGGACAATTGTAAAGGCACAGTGTGGAGTGGTCTTCTTAACAAACAGGGTTTTCTTAACATTCTTTGTTTCTCATCTAAAATGCATTCACCTGACAAACAGGCAAGACCTAATGCAATTTCAAACTTCTAAAAAATTGAGTGAGGTAGATTTTTCTCCATCTTCTCCTTGTTTACGAGAGCACAGCTGCCTTTACGCTGCATTATCTGTTGATGTACGTAGCTGCCTGAAACTGGGGGACAGCTTGTCCTTTACAGGCTCTAACTTCAATGTAAGAGACTGCTCTGCAGATTATGAGAAATATTCTCAAATCAGTATGTTAATGGTTTTTGCAAATAAAATACAAATATAACTGCAACCTGCTCATCAAACCAGTGCTCCACAGTGCCACTAGTGGTCAAAAACTGCACAGTCTACCTTTAACACTTTATAATATCAGATGACAGAAATATACGCACAGTGTAAAGTTAAGGAGGGCATCTCCATTGAGTACTGTTCGTCCTCTGGAACGTAAATAGTCGACCAAACAGCCCTGAAATTGAAATAAAAAAAGTTTGCATGTTCAATACTATGTAGTACTATGATCCGGATGTTGATAAATGATAATACAGGCGTCCACCTACCTTGGCCATATACTCAGTTACTATGTACAGAGTCCCATGCTCCTCTACAATGACTCCAAGCAGCTGCACCAGGTTATCGTGCCGTAGTTGTCTGAGAGAGGAGAGGAGCATGTGGACCTGTTATCATATTATCATTTATTTCTGTTGTTAAAAATATATCAACTATTCAACGATCCTTACGTCATGACAGAAGCCTCAGCAATAAAGGCCTGTGCTGTAGCATCATTTTTTATGCACTTCACAGCTACTTTCGTCCCTCTGTAGTCTCCCACCATGACATCTGGAACAATCACAAACAATGACAAGGTTGTGTTGGTAAACAAGCAGGGAAACTGTATTTATTAGACATGGTAGAAAAAAATACAATGAATGATGAAACGCGGATACTGTTAAATCTGTATTCACTCACAAAAAAAAGAGCCTTTATTTCAACTGTACAAGGGATAAGAAATATGTTGTATGGTCCAAATGTATTGTTCTAATATTGATTCAAATGTTCTTTAAGAAAACATCATGCCAAATTTATACCAATCTGAGGCAATGAAAATGCATTAGTACATGTTAATAATATGTTTGTGATTTCTGCCACATGTAAGCAATAATATAAAACTGGGTCACTTCTATGTTGCTGTGTAAAAATAAATAAATAAAGCATTAAACGTGAACTTGCCTCCAAACTCTCCCTTTCCAATAACCTGCTGTAGTTTGAGGTCCTTGCTGTTCATTGACCAGCCACCTGTTGGTCGGTCAAAGAGAAAACAACAAGCAGCTCAGACATAACAGGCCCATACATGTTTCTCAAGGTCAAAAAGGCTGAAATGTCAAGAATTTAAAAAGATTGACAAACTGAGCCTCACTCCTGGAAAACTCATCCTGAGCAGCGACTGTCCCCTCCTCCAGCTTTGGCTTGATGAGTTTGGTGCACAGGCCATCAGCGTCTTTGGTGTAGTGCTGGAGACAAATAAAGAAAAATAAAAAACTAACCAGGAGCAGAATGAATATAAAGTGGAAACAATAACATTGCCCAGAAGAGTGTCACCTGGTCATGGCCTTGTATAATCAAAGGAAACACCAGAACCACCATTTTAATAGCATGCATGGTTCTCCACCTTCTCCTCTCCACACACACTTACGTTTATTTGGCCTTAAAGATGAACTGAGTAGATTGTCTGGGGCAAAGTCACTCTGGCACAAAATGTCACTAAACTTGTCTTTGGCCATAAATCAAGAGGTAATGCATTAATTAATTTTAACTTTTCAGACAATAAAATGAAGGATAAAATAAAGTAACTACACTTTATAACCAAACAGTCAAAGGTCAACTTCACTGTGACAAAATAATGTTGTGCATCAACACTTTTCTGAACACACAAGTTGGTTGTGAGCATATTTCTTGCAACCTGATTGACTGGCAGAGGCATACGACTGTGAGACTCTATTCAATCCAGCCACTTTAGAATTTCTGCCTCTTGAGCTTCTATCTACATTCTTTAACAAGTTAATTATTCATGTGGGTTCAGTGTTTATTAGCTTAATCTTATGGAAAACTGAAGCATTAAACTGCACCACAACTCAGTGAGCAGTGCTTCACTGTGACCAATAGAGGGCTGTCTGTACAAAAGAAAAAGACAGAACGGCCGACTGACAGCAAAGGTTTTGCTTTAACTTAGTCAAACTGAACTTACACATGTCTTTTACTCTGTACAGTATAAAGCATGCAGCTTTTTAAGAAGAGTTTCACACAGCAAAATGAGTCATTTTCAAATTAAATGTTTCGTTTCGTTTCGTTGTGAGGTTAGACCTCTGAACCTCAGCATACAGCTGGCTCTTCCTCTTCGACACTTCCTGTTCACTATATGTCACAGGAACTGTATGTGGTCTAGGAGGCAGTGCAATGACGGGGGACAGGAAGGTGCATCACTGCTACAGTAGAGTAAAACTTGATATAGCTGCAGAGCAAACACCAGAAACACCTCATTTTTGAATGTAAAACAAAATCTAATTTCTTGTCTCACCTCAACCAGCTGCATGAGGTTCTCAAAATACTCCTCCTCGTCAATAGAGAGCTTGCCGTTGTGGTAGATGATGCGGTAGTGCTCCACCTTGCCGTCGCAGCTCACACACAGGGTGTAGTCGCCGGGAAAGTTGGTGCTCTCTCTCACTAAGAACAGGCCTGTTTCAGGAGGGCAAAGCAGCTGCTCCGCCTGATTCCGTGTTATCTTCCCATGAAACCATCTGAGAGCCACAGGTTGCACACAAAGAAATAACAAACAAACATTTTAATAATATAAGATTAAAGTCCATCAACAAAACTAAACTTATCACACAGATTTATCATAAGCCTTTTGACAATGCATTAACGAGGCATTTCAAGGGACGACACTGACTGTGTTGAGGGCCATTAATCACTGTGTAAAAGCAGGAATAAACAATAAGTAAATACTCCTGGGGTCAATTTTGGGTCTGTGTCACCAATTATTTTCCATAAGCCTATAAGAAATTTCCATCTTTCCTTGTTAATTGTATTTCATTATCATATTATTGCCCATAAATGGGTCCTGAGGGAAAAATAATGAATGTGGTTATTGAGCGATAGAGAACTTAGTATTTTACATATCCACCGTGATCAGTTTTATTACTGACACAGTCACGGATTGTTCAATAAATTAATTTGCATCTGACTCCATGAGAAAGTCCCATTTAAATATCATACAGAGAATCTTTTGGGAACGAGACAACTTTCTTTTCACTGAAATAGAAGCAGCTTACCTCTCAGTTTTCAGTTCTCTTATTGAAAACTCAGAGGCCTGTTAGCATGTTCCTCTCAGAACAATTGCTGGTGATATTTATTCAGGTTTAAATTTTTTGATTTGGGTTGTAACTTGAAAATGTTTACATTCTCTAATGTTCAGAAACACATCACTTTCCTCAGACTGTGCATTGCTGCAACTCCTCTCTTCAGCCTCTGTCTGAAACTCTTGGTTTTAGCTCCTGTCTCTCATTAAGGAAATAACGGCTTATTCTCTATCTTTCCTGGCTTTGTTAGGGGGGGTGTCAGACTAAACACTATAAGCATATATTAAGCAAATGTAGGAACATACTACCGCAATAGGGCATGGTCACACACTTTAACTTTGACCCACGTTACACTCAACACATTTACATATTTGTGACTGTGCCCTTATCATGATGTCACATCACATCAAGATGATGCAGAAGTACTGGCCGGACTACTGACAAGACTTTCAGGAACTTCAGGAGCAGTGTCTTACACAAAAAACCTTATAACACACACTAGAGAAAAGAAAACCTGAAAAAGCATAATAAATCTCCTTTGACATTATTTTTTAGTTAACTTGTAAAAAGGTGTTGCTGTAGTCACATAAGAAATGAGAGATTGTGTGCCTATGAATATGAATACACATAAATGATGATTTAAGGTCAATGCTGGGTAAATTAGACTAAGTGAAGCTCAAGTACAACTGCTATATATTCTTAATGGCCATAGTTTCAATTTCATTGTGACTGTCTTCATGTTTCATGTCACTCTTTCTGGATTGGGCAGGTTTAGCTTCATGATGTTTCATCATATTTCATTTGAAGAGCAAAGTGCACTGTAAATAAATCAGTCATTCCTACCCCCACATCAACAAATGCATACGAATGTCTGTCATATAACAAACAAGGAGATTTTTTTTAACTCTCAACAGGAAATTGTGCAGAATTCAAGCGAAAGCTGAGCTGTAACCACACACACTTGTACTGCAATTACAACATGGCTCGACCCAACTGTGGTCTCCGTTCACATAACTACAGCATCACTGCTGCAACAAATAGGCCATCTGCCTTCATCCGACCACACAGCCATAGGCAGAGGGGAAAGTTGAGCTATTTTAGCCGTTGCTGCTGACACAACACAAAGCAGAGGTGGTGGCAGAATTTCACATATATAGACAAACCTAAATCTGTCTGCTTTTAAAGCAAAAGATTATATCAGATCTAGATATGTCACAATAATCTGCATACTCACGGCATGAGACTCAGTTTCCCCCCAGATTTGACACCTTCCCTTTTCTGGACATAGTTGGCTGGGATTGTTCCCTCACGACCTGCTGAGTTTTTAGCTTTGTACCAGTTTGAATCCTGAAATGCAAAATGTCAAAATTTGGTGGCAAAACATTTAAATAATTTAGTATCTTGTAATATTTATAAAAATGCATGATCAAATTCACATACTTTGTGTGGGATATGAAACATTACCTTTGTGACGACAATGATGCTCAACAAGTCTCCTTTGTTAAAGGGCAGGTCCTGCTCTGATGTGCCTTTAAAGCTGTACCTGGCCACACACTCGGTGCCCGGTGGCCAAGGAGTCTGTGGGGACATGGTCAGTTCGATAAGTAGTAATCAGATCACATGTGGTTTATGTATGTATTGTTACACATCTCTGTCTTACCTGGACCTCTGACATGATGAGGGGGTTGGATCCTCTCACAGGTGACGTTGTCTAGCTGCTACCATTAGAGCTGGTAAACACACACGTACCTGACAAAAAAGCAAACAGAATCCATTTAAATTTAAGAGGAAGATGTTTTAAAGCTTTAACACAAATATATTTTAAGGAAGGCCGTTAATTTGGGGGTTTGCAGCGCAGTTTCAGAGCAGCAACTAAATCAGCTATTATCAGAACACAACAGAATATAGTGTAAATATGCTGTGTAAGTTCAGGCAGTGTCAGTAAAAATAGCTTGCTCACAGAAAGCAGAACTTCTTTTTTTTTAATCCCACTTTCACAACTGGTCAAGAATGTTTCCATGATGCAAAGCAAGAGTATTTACTTGAAGAGTGATTTCCTCTGAGTAGATTGAGCAATGACACAAATTCAAAAAGACAGAATAGAAGCTCAGCGTAAGTTCAGTCAGGAAAGACTTTACCCCCATTCAATCAATCTTAAATCTCTTTCTATGCTTATTGATCAGCGGGCGTTTCGAAATGGCCAATCGGATTCTGCCACAGTCTCTTCCAGCCAATCATGCAGCTGCTGTCAAACTTTAAATACCTTTTCCTCTCTTCCATAGTCACCAGTGTCTAGACCTTGGGGGGAGTCCCTGTACTACTTTCTGTTTCTCCAACACATGACCTGACTATTACCTTTTAAAAAACAGTGGTAACCCCCACCCAGACTGCTAGGAACCTGGGTGTGACACTCAACAGTCAAATCTCCCTAACTGCCAACATTATTGCAACAACCCGCTCATGTAGATAGATGCGGCAGAACTTCAGAAAAAAAAAGAGTAAAATAAAAGCATCAGATAATCAGCTAAGTCAATAATTGTTGTTAAAACGTTGAATCAAAGTGTCTCCTGATTGAAATATACTATACCATACATAATGGTATAATATTCCTTGAAACGTGATCTACTTTGTGTTTCATATGGCAACACTGTCCATTCTGACCTAAGTGGACATCCACTGGTTCTAAGCTGTGCTCACTAGGCCATACATGAATCAACATAGCTCTCCTCCGGGCTGGAATATAAACTTGGTGGTGAGATTGGACCAGGCCCGAGGGACTCGTCCAACCCAGTGTTTCTTTACATCAATAAAACAGCCACTGTGACAGCAACCCAGGGCAGAGTTCCCATAATATACACACTACAAATAAGAGCACAGTCGTCGTAATAAAATGATGACCTTTGGATAAAGTAGTGCTCAAACCGACGCCGCCCCCCCAAAAAAACCTAGACTCTCTCTTTGTGCATCAGTTCCCATGCAAAGGTTGCAAATCCCAGAGGTCAGGGAAAATCCTGGTTTAACCCATGTGTACATGAGGTCACATCCTTTGACATGCTACGCAATCAGCTTCCTGTTGTTCTGCTGACATCACCGTCCAAACACTTCCTTCTTCTATCACGCCTTTTTTATATTCACATTTGAATAAAGAAATGTTAAATGTTTGTTTCAATGCTAAGACTGACCAGTAAAACACAAAAATATAATATATCTGTTGGACAGCACCAGAAATACCTCAACAATTATCAGATCGATTATCATGAAGTTTTACACAGATGTTCATGGTGCCCAGAGGATGAGCTATAATAACTCTGGTGATCCCTGACCAAAGGCACGGACCAAAAGCCCAAACATTACCATCCATAAAGCCTTGCTATCTAAAGCGTAATTATGATTTGGTCAAACTCCATATTTTTTCATTTGGAGCAGGAAATCCTACCCACAATTCCCTGCCATCAGAACATGTGCTTGGTGAAGGAGCAGAGTGATCTTAATGGATCAACTGGACCAATGCTGACACAGAACGCCACTTTAAAATTCATCTCTTGCCGGACAGTGAATGCATCACAGCAGCAGGCCACCAGCAGCTGACTGAACGAGACAGAACTGCGACTGTCATGGAGTCACATTGCCATTTCCAAAGAGCTCGACATGGGACCACAGCACGCTCTTTTCAGGAGGCACACAATGCTGTCATTGTGCGTCATCGAGTTTCTACTGACCCCTGGGCTCCTAATGACTCCTGTCTCACTGAAAAATCATCATTATCATCATCGGTCTGTCCAGTCACAGGCTTTAAGGGCAGCAATGGAAATAAGACTTGTTTGCTCCACCGAGAAGGTTATGGTTTGATAATTACAAGAATTTTACAAAAACGACTGGATGCCGGATTACCAGGAAACTTGCAGGAAGGATGCAGAGATCTGAATGAAAGAAATCAGAGAAGTGTAAAGTGCTAATATCTATGAACAGATTAAATGTTTTTATGATTTTAATAATGTAATTTAATCAAGTGTATTGTTTAATCTTGGATTCTTTTTTATTATTGTTGGCCGTATAGAGTTTTAATCATGGGTTGTTGTAGGGATATTGGATATATTTTTGTATATTGGATGGTATATACAATGCACATGAATAATTCATAGATATTTGTCATATAAAAGATAAGTCATTTTATTTTTAGTTGACTTTTAAAACAAATGAAATGATTTGGATTCTATGAATTGAAATAAATAATTGTACGGGTTGATCAGTTTCTGTATTGTAGCATTACTTTCAACCACATCAGAGAACTGATCCTTTACCTGTGCAAAATGTCAACAGCTTGTAGAAAGTTCTGTTTACATGGTTTATGTATATAATTGCATGTTATTATATGCAAGTGTCTATTGTTGATGTTATTATCATGTGAATTCCACTGAAAACAGTTAAGCTGCAACATTATTCAATTCATACATCCGATAAGACATATTATCTGCTACAGGAGAACTGATGGATGACATTATTCACTGAAAGAGAAAACTGGGTGACAGAGTAAGCCTGACTGGAGTCAGAGAAGCACTTTGACAGGTAACTGAAATACAGAGGTGTCACATCACTTCAAAAGACTATATTTCTTTCTTTAAAGTAAATATCAATGTTTTTCTTAATATTTTTGGCATCCCTCTTCTTCAAACCCGACCGGTCGAACAACATTCGACTCGCAAGTCAGTTACGGTGTGAACTGTTAAAATCAGCAGGAGCCTGACTGCACAAAGCAAGACAGGACAGGTATGTATCTTCTCTGGCTGTGTGTAAATGTGCCACTCCCTTGTCTATCTGCACACACAATCTGAGATCAAAATGATAATTATACTATTGGTTTAGTTAAAGCCGCTGTGATACAGTGAAGAGGGGAGGAGCAGACATGCTGTGGAAGGATTTGTAAATGTGCTTCTTGGATTTATATGTTCCTTTGGAGAAAAAAGCAACCAGAACAATTAGTCTAGTAATGTATGTATGTAGAATTTGGAGCTACTTTAACTTTACTTGAGTATTTCCATTCTATAAATCTTTATTCCTCCACTCTACTATTTATGTACTTTTTCACCACTACATTTGGCTTTAAATTTTTGTTGCGTTCCTGATCAACATTTTATATTGAAAAATAAGAATCTTGTCAAATAAATTGCCTTGCTATAAATGTACAAAAAAATCGAATGGTCCCGTTCACATTTCAGTTGTCTATGATTTATTAGCAGTTCCAACAAACAAACAAACGTTTCTTTGATTCTTCATTATTTATCACTTCTCAGATGGTTTCATTGAAATAACTGTTCAATGCACATGAGGTAGAGTGTTACTTTCATCCTTTTATTTTATTCTCTATGTAACTTTATTTATTTTTTGTAAAACCTTTTAACTTCTTTTACATTTTGTCATGAAGTATTTAAGTTTTTATGTAAAGCACTTAAAATTGCCTTGTTTTTGAGATGTACGATACAAATAAACTTGCCTTGATGATCTCATGACTTCTGACTGACAGTCCCGTAGGTTGGGAAACACGTAAAACTATAGCTTCACCTCAATATGTAGACAGAAAAATGTTACATAGAGATGCATACGTATTATCAATCCTATCATACTGTATATATTTATAATATATCAGTCACAGGGGCCTCTCTTTGACAACACACTGACTTTTACTTTTGATCATTTAATCAAACTGCTGTATCTTTGATTGTGTTTTCCTATACTTATACTCTTGGAAAGGATTTGAATACCACTTACCATAGGTGGCAATCCAGTGGTAAATATCACAATGAGGATTAGGTTTGAGTTATTAAAGCACTGGGTATTCCTTTATTCCTTCTCTACATGTGGCAGTGGGCCGGGATGATCCACCCCTAACCCTGACCCTCCAGCCTCAGGACGCTCTGCAGCTGCTCTGATGCTGCGGCTCTGATGCTGCTGCTCTGTTCACATCACTGTTATAACATCAGCAGCAGCAGCAGCAGCAGCATGGTGGCCAAGTGAAGAGTGACGGACACAATGACTTCCGCTTATAATCCACTGACTTTCTAACTGGCAGGTGCACAAAAGGAAAGGAGAGATGTGCAGAAGGAGCTCATGCTAACAGTTGCTGGTCCTGACAGTCTGCAGATGTGAGGAAATTACCTCTGCCTCTGGGGATTATAGTGTGGGGTCTGAGAGAGGAAGTGCAAATCTAGTGGTAGGCCACGCAGCACAAATGTTGAATTCATACAGCTTCTACATGCAGCACGTTCTCTGTCACACTTTATTCATACACTGCCGTTACAGCCATCAGGGGCAATCTGGGGTGCAGTATTTGACAGGAATTAAATGACCCGCTCTACCTCCTGAGCCACAGCCGGCCCAAGCCATCTTTATATCACTCTAATGATAGACAGTTTGGCCTACAGTCTAAAATGACACGCTGTTTATCATAATTGAAAATAAAACTCTGCAAAACAAAGTTGTTTTCAGAGCAGAGAAAAATGTTTTGTCGCGAGTTAACTTTGTATTTTAATGCTCCAACGTTCAAACCACACAGTGAGACTCTTAACACTTGTATGATTGATAATTCGAACAAGAGAAGATATTGAAACCAAAGCAGCATGCAGGGGAATTAAGGCAAGGCTGAACCATGTACAGTCATTTCCTTGCTGGGGAGCTTTGCACACTATGCGGTGCAGTACTGCTCCACTAATGCAGCCATGCACAGCACATTACACTGTGATAACAACACTTTGCTGTGGTTTCTTGCGCTCTCTTCATCTTGTTTCACCAGTTTCCCCCCACACTCACAAGAATTATCAGTGGAAAGGCCTCTAAAGCAGTGCCAGTCTTTTATTTCTTGGAAAGTTACTGACCTTTGAGGAAATTCCTGTCTCAGTTGGAGGGGCTTCACCCTGAAACAGACCCAAGAGGTCCTCATTCCCTCTCTGTGACTTCTGCTGCTTCCACTGAACTTTGTTTTCTCTTGCGCATTTGATTTTTAGTGCATCGGTGGCTTTTTTCAGATTTTTGATTAATCATTTCTTGAAAATGACGAACAAATGATAGGATCAGCAATACCATTTAGAAATAACTACAGTGGGAGAGCTCAATGCACTGCAAATTAAGAAAACACATGCAAATAGAAAAAATATTGACAAATTAAGAAAACAAATTCATCAATTTGATGACGCATGCACATGCCCCCCCCCCAAAAAAAACAACGAAAATGTTTCTAGGGGATCAAAAAAAACAATGAACCCGGCTGTAGTTCAATGCTTTCTGAAGTTCCATCACCACAGACGAGCAGCAGACTTCAATAACTTCACAAAGTTGTTCTCTTAATTTGCGCATGTTTTTTTTCTATTTAAAAGTGCTGAGCTCTCTCTGCCACCTTTTATAACCCTCTGAAAGTCACAGATCTCTATTTTTGCGGCTTGAATAGACCACACAGTCCAAAGTAACTGTTAATAGGCTCTGTGACAGTTCACTCAACATCTTTATTACTCAGAATACCATAATCTGTATCAATACTGTTATCCACCATTTTGAGACAGCAATGTGGAGAGCTGCATGATGCAGCTACTGCATCCCAGGAAGACCACAGGAAGTGAAGGAGGAGGACATTAAAAGCAACACTATTCAGGATGGGGGGGGGTGTCTCTAAATGGCAAATGATGTGTTGGTTTAGGGGCTCGGCTCTCAAGATTCCCACTAATGAGCAGTCGCCGGTGGCCGCTGACCTACATTAGAGAGGGTTAACCTCTTCAAATATATAAAAGTCATGACCTCAAATGGTTTAGTGTTTGTTCATAATCAATGGTCCTGCAAGGTCCAAGACGGTGTTACACACTAGGTGGCGTTGTGAGCCATGTTTAACACATAAATGTAGATGTTTCAATAAATTTGGTTAAAATTTGATCAAGCATAACTATATTTCAATACAGAGCAGTCATAATTAATTAGCAGCTCATAAACCACACTAAGGTGTGCAGAGTCCCTTAAAGCCTTTTCTTTTGTTTTACTGTGAAGCACTTTGAGCTGCACAGACAAACGTTTTGTTAATGTGCCCCAGTCACTTAAAACAATCAAAACCAAGTGCATTACAAGAAACTGAATTTAAATTCATCAGACTGTTTAAGTTCATGTGATATGGCAGCTTGACTGCATCTAGAAGCCATGGCCTGATGTCAAAATAAAACATCTTACCTGTCTGCAGATTCAAGGCAGCAACAGGGGATCGTATGTTTTCATCTAAGCAGCTGCAGCAGAATAATTCCCATTGACGAGATCGGCAACTGTGACACCGAGGAGCAGAGACACATGAAGCCCTGATGAGGAAGTGAAGTGTCCCAGGTGAAACTTCAGCGGTGTGAGAACTGCTCAATAATAAACCACTTCTGCTGCGTCTCCTGTCAACATCACTCTGAGGAAAATACCTGTAAACATACAGAGTAGACTGCTTTTCTACAAACTGCAGAGTCGATGAGTGGAAGAAGTGAAGAGGATCAGAAAAACACTGATGACGCAATCTGTCAAGAAGCAGGCGGTGGATTCTGCTCGATTCAAACTTCAGGCTGCTTCACTTCACTTCTTCCCTGTGAGAAACGTTCAAGTCGTTTTTTTTTTTTTTTTTGCCCCACCTTGGTTTTGCACATGCGCGTTGACCAAAAACTCCTGCGGCTGAAACGAGGCGATCACTGAAAACATGTCAGAGGAATTTGATGATCAGTGTTTACAAACACACACACACACACACACAGAGAGAGAGAGAGAGAGTGAGAAGTCAGTGGTAAATGTTTTTATTTATAGACTCAGTCTGCAGATGTGACACAGTTCACACACCAACAACTCTGACAGTGAACTTCGATCCACGAAGGAAACTAAATAAAACATCGTATCAGCGTCTTTTCTAACGCGGCTGAACTGAACACTGAGTTTGGACCAAACATCTCCTGCAGGTCAAATCATTTCAAACGTCCAAACTTACTTCAGGAAACATAACCTGCTTTTAAACGTTACCACGGTCTTCCTGTGAAACCCCAGGTCCGCTCGACTGTTTCTGACTGTTCACATTTTGTTAGGTGATGACACCATCCATTGAGGAAATAGAATTAAAGCTGCCATTACATCAGATCCAACAGAATAAGGAAGAGCCGCGGCTTCAACGTGTGGTTGCGTGGCCCCCTGGCGGCCAGAGACAAACATTTCAAATTCACATTCAGTAACCCAGGCTGATGTTTCCCAAGCAAGACTGGACAGATGTGACATAACACATCAGGCTGCAGGAATGTTGGAGAGAGGACAGACTTTGTGCATGGCAGTTATTTCCTCTGAATGAGCGCAGAGACGAGTGTGCACAGAGAAAACAACAAAAACAACACAAGCTTCCTTTTTTAAAAATCCTCCTGAGATGTTAGAGAGCCAATGTGATGGCACACTGAACACTATGAATCTAACAGAACGATCTGTAGCCGTGTGTCCTTTTCTACACTCCACTCACCTCAGTGATACAGAGCTCTGGTCTCGTTAAAGAACCAGCAACAAGGGTTTGACTTTCATCCGAACAAAGATCTGGCATCACAGAGGACTCTGACCCGTCTGTCAAGGCCTCAAAAAGCAGCAAAACACAAGCAGCTCTGCACTTATGTTAATTGTGTACTTCATAAACTATACTTTAGTTTTATGGTCAATACCTGTAGAAAATACAAATGAAAAAAAGTCCTGGTCAATACAAGTCTGCCAATGACTTCTCATCACAAAGACCTGATCTACCTGACACAGAGGTGGTACTTGGTGCAGGATGGTGCATGTTGATCCTTTCCTGTGACTTCAGATCATGATTACTTAACCCCCCAAAAATGCATTGAATTCACATACAGGGCTTGTACTTTAGAAAACGTCCTAATACAAAACTTTCTGACATTCTAACCTGAATGGTTAAGACTCTTTAACAGAGGGAACCATACCAGTGTATTTTTTTCTCCCCCATTTTTCACAAACCATTTACATTCACAACCTCCTGCAAATGATGCTGCTTTTTTTTTTTTAAAGAAATTAAGATGTTTCCTCGACTGTTCCAAACAATCATTGCTACTATTCATTTCTGTACAATGTGAGAATCTTTTCCCAACCTCTTAAAACATATTTATGTTGTGTAATCTACATTTTGATCAACTCTGCATCTGTATTGTGATGCAGTGTGGACTTAAGCAAATGAATGTGCTTGAACTGCATTTCCACACAACAATAATATAACATTGACACAAACAGACGTAATGCTCATTGTAGAGAATTAACATAACTTGAGTTTAAGATAATTAAATACTGTAAATGAATGGAAACCAGTATCTATATTGAACAGAAAAAAACCTTATAGCCAACATTTAGATTAGTGAAAAATTAAATACACAATTTGTATTTAAGGACCTTAAACGTTCAGAAACACTGGTATGGTCCTTAAGTTTTACCAATTAAATTAGCAAAGCCCTTATCACCACAGCCTAGTTTTACCATGGACAAACAACACTGCTGATATCTGGATTCCCTCCAGTAGCTGGTCCATATAACATTGGTTTAGTGAAAACACACAGATGAAGGTTCTGGATGATAAATCTATCCTAATAAAACAACTGGTATTTACTGAATACTGCAAAGTACGGAAGCAGAGACATTAGAAGTGATCATTTCTGTTGTCTCATCCAGATGAAATTAAGAATGGATGGAGGATCTTATTCACAACATGGCTTTGGAATGACATTAGTTTACAATGACATTCAGTAGTTTACCATTTTCAGATTGTCCTAGTAAATTCTAAACTGATTTTCATCATCAAAATATCTTGTAGTATTTAAATACATTCGTTTTCATGACATCTGTTTATTCAAAAAGCTTTAAATGTCTTTTCTCCACCCATTATGTATTTAGTCCTTACAGAACAAAATGGTACAAAACCGTGGTCCTTCAGTGTGACGGCAAAGTCCCTTCCACACGTTGAGTTAGAAACTTGAGTGATGAACAGAAATACAGCTGAAACTCTCTAATATAAGGCGACCAAGCCCAAATGGTCAAGGATGGTGAAAGATTCAAGCTGTCTTGTTGACCATTAATCTTGTTACGCAGAGTGCAGGGGGATGACAAATTTGCACCCAAAAGGAGAGTGGTACTGGATTCCAACTTCCTGGAGCACCTGGCGAGGAATACCTATGTCACACAGGTAAACCCGGCCGGCGCCCTCACCCAGGGGAAGCGGGAGGCAAAGACAGAGGGACCACTTGGCCTCAACAGCCTGACCCTGTCCACTAACAGGGGGGTCTAAGCTGAGCACTGGCGCTCTATTCTGGTTAGCCCAGTCTGCAGCTGCTCTGTACCAAGGCTGATCCATTAGGAATGTGTTCTCATGACAGTCCAGGCAGTTAATGATTAGGTCCACTGGAGTGTCTGGAAGGTCTGAGGAGTCAAGAGAGAAAAATACCAGGAAATTGTTCAATCAACTACACTGGGAAATGTAAAACAGTTATATCTATTGAGACCAAAACAGAAAGTCCAAGTATAAAAATATGCTCACCTTTGATGCTTGACACCTGTTTGCCCCCCGTTTTGTTAAAGAGGGTGAGCTCGCTGGTGACGGAGTCAAGCATTTTGACAAAATTGGGCATAAACAGAATGACCTCCACTTCATGATTGGCCAGGTGACGACCACAGCTGATGCCCTGAGCCCCCTGAACATGAGGGCCGCACAGCAGGGCCACTGTGGGACGCTGATGTAAATTTTTGGGAGTGAATCTGAAAAGGAATATAACACCCAAGAATAAATAAGTCAATTTGTGGTACTTTGTTCTCTTAAAGTACCAATAGCCAGTATAAGGTAGTAGTATA